TTTTAGTCCTATTTATAAATCATTTTATTAAATTTCTAACATAAATATATTATTTTGTTATTTATTTACTATAGTATAGATAGTTATTCTTTTAAAAGGTGTATATATTAAATATGAATAAAATTAAAAAATTGTTATATTTTATAAAAAAATAATATAATTTAAAATTTTACTTGATTTGTATGAAATATGTTGAAAGTATTTTATATGTTGAAAATGTTTTATAAATAAGATTTAAGGAGTGTGTTTTCTTTTATGTAATTATTGTCAAATACTCCCTCCGTTCCTTATTATAAGAGACAAATAACCGAAGTACGTTGATCAAAAAAACAGTTAAAATTAGTTAAGAACAATTAATGTGCAAAAAGTATCATTTTTTTCCAAAAATGCCCTCATTAATAAGGAGAGAGAGCATGAGGGAGAACAATTAAATTATTAAAAGAAAGAGAAGTGGGAAGGAGGGAGAGTGTGAGTTGGAGATAATAAATATGGGTAAAATAGTAAATTAACACAAAAAAGTAGAGACAACTTGTAAGTGTCTCTTATATATAGAAACATGTCATAAGCATCAAATGTCTCTTATAATAAGGAACGGAGGGAGTAATTAATTAAAAAATAGTGAAACCTAGGCTGTTAGCTAGGTTGGTGCGCATGGGTGTTGCATTTAGTGTTGTGAAAGGGACATGGCACGATATACAGAGAATGGCGGGAATCGCGTGGGCCCATGAAAAGGTCTGAGCATCTGAGTCATTCACAAGTCACAAGCCGAATGAAGGAAGCACCTTTGGATTTGGATAAACACGAAGAGAGACTGAGGAAGAAATAGATATGATTAATGACACCTCATCTACATGTACTCCTCCTGTCAACTTATTTACAAGAAAAAAAAAAATAGTTATAAGGTATTGAGCGCAATTTTTTATGTAAATATATAATTTTATTTTTTATTTATTATTATAACTTTATTTTCATAAGGTATAATATATATTAAATAAGTATAAAATTAAAAAGTTATTAAATTTTAAATAAGAGTTAATGAAATTTAAAGGTTTTTTTTGTTTGTGTGAAATATGTTGAAAGTGATTTATAAACAGAACCAAAACAGCATGTATGTATAACTTTTTTATAAGTAGTTTTTAAATCATGATTTACAAAATATGAAACATATGAAGAAAGTTTAAGTGATGCTAAACAAACACTATCTCAATACTCCTATAGTCTTATTTATAAGACAGAGAGAAGATATTTTTTGATCCTATTTATAGGGAGTTGAGAGAAATTTTTTACATCGATATACAATTTTACCCCTCATTTATTATTATATTAATTTTGTTTACATAAGATGTAATATATATTAAATAGGGATAAAATTAAAAAATTACTAATTTTTAAATGAGAGTTTAAAATTTTTCTCAAGTGTATAAAATATACTGAAAGTGCTTAGGATCAGAGGATTATCATCAACCCCTCCAATCACATCCTCGCACCCAACTTTTGGGTTTGGACTTTTTGCTGAGCTTGTGATTCTTGTGCCCCTCACCGGTCTGATTTGTGTGAATTGTAATTAATATCAGCACTTCATTAATTTCAAAAGTGATTTTTGAAATAAAAAAATCAGTTTGTGCTAAATACTCCTCATATCCTTAATATAGGACCTAATTCTTGAGTTGGTTTTAGTCCTAAATATAATATCTATTTATCATATTTATTAATTTTCTCTAAATTACTCCTATGGATATTCCCTCAACCATAATCAAGTAGAAGAGGGAGAATGAGGTATTAAGAAAGATGATTATGGTATTTTAGGAAAAATGTGTCACTTTTTTTATGATTAACTAATTTACCTAACTTCCTTAATCTAATCAAATTAGTTAATGGGTCTTATATTAAGGATCGGATGAGTATAATTTTCGAATTACTTATTGAAATAGCTCTTCATTCTTCCTTTTGATGAAATAGCTCTTCATTCTTCCTTTTGAGATTAATTTTTTTATATTTTGTAGAAGATAGTCTTTTTTCTATTTATTTTAGCAACTTGTAAACTTTGTTGATTTTAATATATTATTCTTTGCATAAGAAATAATATATTATTTTTCCTTTTTTTAAAAAAAGAATTACTTATGAAAAAGAGTTTTTTAAGCCAAAAACTCGGGTTGAAGTTGAAACAAGTTTTTAACTTTATCTTTTTACACACTTGAAGTTTGAAGGTTTTCAAACTAGCTTCTCAATGTATCATTTAAAACACATTTTTATCAAACTGATCTTAAATAAAAAGCACATTGAAATATAAATCACACATACTGATTTACTTTTATCTTAATTTTAATTTGCAAAGCAAATTAATTGGGATAAGAATCACTATTTCAAACGATAATCCCAACAAACTCTAGTTTAAGAACATGTTACATTTTATTCCTATGCCTTGTTTCAAACATTCACATGCCTCAGTCTTTCTCATAATTTGTTTTGCTCATCACATGAGTCGTTTTTACTAGTAATCCGGCTTAGATTTAATTTAAAACATTTAAATTAAGTTTTTTGCTTTATATTTTTGTATCAAGAAAAATTCGTTTAAGATAGTATAGTTAATTTTTTTTAGGTTTAATTAGTAGTACTAGATATTAGGTGGTTTATTAAAAATATGACATTATGAAAAATTAAAACGGTTAGGCTTAAATTTATCACATAAATCTGAAATTTTCAAATTGAATTTAAAATATGTATTGTCAATTGAAGGAATTCAATCTCAACCAAATAAAGTTAATAATATAATGTTGCTAAGAAATTTGTCACATGGGCGAAAGGAAGAGTGAAAAAGAAAAGACCACATATATTCCTTGTCTTTTTATAATTTATTTAAGGACTTGTTTGGTTAAGATAACAGAAAGGAAGCCTCTTTCCTCGCATCTAATCATTTCCCTAAAGTGTAACTTTCTATGATTCTCTTATAAGCTTAGCCATGTTTTTTGTATACTCCTCTGTTTGGTATTATGAGATTATTTTAACTAAATTATATGATTTAAGAAAGCAGTTAAAATTAGTTAAGATCAATTAATATGTAGCAAATATAATTTTTTCAAATGTACCCCTATATATAAATGAGTAAACGTGAAAGAGTAATAGTGAAATAAATGAAGAAAGAGAATATATTAAATTAGAGGTAAAATAGGTAATAATACATTAAATACTCAAACAAATTCAAAGATGATCTTATAAAAAGGAATAGATCCATTCAAAAAATTAGATCTTATAACAACAGACGGATAAAGTATAATTTAAACACATATATACACACAAACATATAAACATGCCAAGTTCGAGTTCTGGATCTTATCCAAACTTAAAAAGTCTAACTAGAGCATCATTTGATCCCTTTAATTTTTTGTTTAGAAAATGGAGAATCAACATATATAGGTGCCTTATATCAGCATCAAAGGAACCTTTTCATGTGCTAGAGAGTTTGTCAGATGATATCCTTAGGATACTATAAATTATTATTGTATGTTACTGTTTATTCTTATTCCTTTGCCGTGGTTTCCTTCTGTTTGATTCGTTTTCTTTTGTTTGGTTCATTATTGGGTTCCAATAAAAAGTCAAAAGTTGATTCCCAAACACACCACCATGTGACTATTAATCTTCTATCTTCCTAGCCCACAAGCTCACCAACTACAGTAATTGACTTTACTTAACCATATCTACCAACCATAATTGTGACCAATTAGGGCGCGTTTGATCAAAATGTGGTTCACATGCTCTAATTTAGCAATAAATAAGAAAGTTTATCTTTATTATTTGTATTCGTTTTGAAAAATTACCAAAAGCTGAAAAAAAAAATCAGTTCAATGAGAGTAATTTGGTTCAAGCGGTCGTCATAGTCAGAATTCAACTTTTATGTCTTGATTCTGTTTCTATTTCCTCCGTTTTAAACTCGTGACTCTAAAAGAACAAATCAAACCAGCTAATTACATGCCAAAAATAGTTAAACAATTAGGAATATATCAACTTTTCAAACCTTTGAATTTCTAGATTTTTTTTTTGTTCTAAAAAAATTAAAATCTCCGCCTAACTTTGGTCTAGTTGGCCACCTAATCAGGTTAGAAATTTTGCCATCATCCGACCGCATTATGTGATGAATGTATAATTTTTTAAGCTCTCTAACCAAGCCTCTGACTGAAGAAAAACCTAACCCAAGTAATCTATACCATTGGATTAACTGAAAACAAATGTTTCCACTCTTGATTTAAAGGATATGTCAAATCTTAAAATAATTACGTCGGCCACAAGCGTATGGAATCGAATGTAAAAATCAAGATATATTATTAATAACTTATGAATAATACACAATTTATTATAAATCACATGCATTTGGATACCATAGAATCCAACAAATTTCTACCTCATTCTTTGCAAGCCATTTGAAATAATAGCATACATGGCGTCCTGCACTTGCTTAAGAAGGATGACTTGTGTTGCTACGAATTTAACCTGGTCCCATTTTATATGGGTTTGGAATAACTTGTAAATAATTTTTCCAATCGTAATTTATAAGTACAACTGTACAAGATAAGTATGTGAGAAAAATTTTATCTCCATTTAAGTAACACATGCTTATAAATACTTATAATCATGAGGGGTCCTATTTCTATCGTTCTTAAAGATGCTGGAGTCTTTCTTTCTTTCTTTTTTTTATTAAAAAAAGGTACTTATTTGACTCTTGTTCTGATTTCTTGATTTCTTCATGTAGATATTCAGAATACTGAGCAGAAATCATATTATGTCAACATCTGCAAGAATGATTGCGATGCTTTGTTTTAATTGAATAGCCAGATTCCACTCCTGTTCCGATCTCTAATAATGAGTATGAAGTTCTTTTTGGGGGATGGCTACAAATATGATCCTTTAGGAACAATATTTCCTTTCATCCCATACTTGCTGTGGAATGAGGAAACCAAAAATCAGGACGGGTCGAGAAGACATGTAATGAACAGGGGAAAAAAAAAGAATGTGTATATGTATAATCAATTAAACTTCAATTGTAACAAAAAAAAAATTAAACTAAAATTGTTTAATCAAGCAAAAGTTCTTTCTCTTGAAAGAGAGTAACCATTGACAGGCACAGACTTGCAGCGGATATTAGAAATTTTATCTCTTCTAAGAGAGAATGGATCAACCCCTGCCTTGTGAGCTGCAACTACTCAAATGGCTTCCCAATAGTTTGAGACCCGAAGCTGCAGGAGATGTAATTTCATTAACCAAACTAGTACAGAAGACATTCGCTAGTGCAACGAAAAGAGTCCGGATAGTGGTTTTAACTTGAATTTGAGGGTTTCTGTAAATTTATTTAATTGTTTATCTATCTATCTATCTATGTTCACTTTTGTCTTCAAATACTCTCAGACTTTTCCATTTCCCCCTTATTAAGCAAATTGCTGGCACTAAAGGAGCACTTTACAACATACGATTTCTTGGATATTCCAATACAAATGGAGTAGAGAATTCAAATCCGCTAAAAATACATGTAATTCTTTACATGAAATCCTCCAAAAGGAAAATTACTGCAATATCTGACCGATTTAGACCCCCTAAATGTAGTCTGTGAAGTGATTCTGAAATAAGAGAGACAGAAAAGGAAGTGGACACTTATTCTCTGTCTCTCTCGCCCACTTCAAAGACACTTTAACATCAGAGGATCAAAATTTGAGACAATATATTGCCACATCTTTAAATAAAGGTTATATAAAACATCTTCACTTAAGATTAGGCCAGGATGAGGTCCTAGATTAAGCAAATCTTCATTTCACTAGTGGGGACTAAGTGCGCAGTATCTAGTCAACTATACTCAGCCAAGTAATATAAACAATCCAGCTAATTCTAAAACTCCTGAATAATGACATTTGCCTGACATTTCTGAACATTATGGGTTCTGTAGCTTCCTGCTACTAAATCCAAAATGCTCCAGGTCTTTGGAGAGGGAAAATCATCCATCTCGGATTATATATAGGAAGTTTGAAATTCATCCTTACTGGAAATAATTAATCAAATACAACATAAAAATGGTATTGGTCGCTGAAAATTATCTGAACCATCAACTTGTGTTTTAGTACCTTAAAGGTTCCTATCTCATCTTCTAACAGAAGAAATCTAAATTCCAGGAAAATAGATTGCTTACCGCTTCAATACCAAGTTTATCTGGGGTATCATTCAGCACAGTTTCATTTTCTTCCACAGTGATTATAAGAGGCTGCAAGAATATTAAAAGCAATAATATTGTAAGGGACACTAGTATAATGGAAATTACTCCCGACTAATATCTGGACTGAGATAGGATAGCGTGATGGTCAGAAGAAAGCTAAAATGCCATAAAGGAAAATTGTTCTTGTTTATTCAAAACAGAAAATAAATATCTTGACGTAGGATAGTGTGCAAGTTAAAGGAAAGCCGAAATGCCATAAAGGATAACTATCATTCCCTATTCAAATCAGAAAATATGTATCTGCAGAAAAACGTTGTATGTTCGAATTCATACCTTGTTTTTTCCACTTCTGGCAAAAGCAAGAGCCCCATCCCCTCCACATGCATCTTTAGGAAGGATAACAGAATCCACATCGCTTGCCAATATGCAGCCTCTCTCCATGGATTCAGAGTTCTTCACCAAGTATTGTGGAGCCTTACTGAGGCCAGCAAGCACACACGGAAGGAATGTATATCCTAGCTATCTAACAAGAGCAAGTTACTTATCACTCAAGACAAATCACAAGTACTGTTACCCGTGCAAATGCAGAGGATAATGAACATCAAATGACCAATTGAAGTAACTCTTTAAGAAAAATTTATACAGAAAAATCCTGTCAACTAATAGAAAATTTCAATCAATTACTAAGATGAGCAAACTTTGACAATAACACTATATTTTCATCCTAACTAAACACTCTACATTGATGTGCCCATATTTCAGTCACTGACAAAATGATAAACAATATAGCTCTGTAAATATGTTGAACTAGTTATGTGCTCCAGGTTATGCACCGTTTCAGCATCCTTGGTGGCACACTGCAAAAGCATTGTAGGTAATCTTCACTTGCCCGTTTAGGGAAGTAAATTTGATTTATAAATGCATTTAAAGAACTTTTCCTAGCTTTCTCATGGACTGCACATTATTTTATACCAGCTTTTGTTATAAATAAATGCTATTTTTCTAACTAACAGCTGGTCAGTGAGTAGTTAAGGGATAACATGGATAGTGCCGTATGGGATTAGCAAAAACTGTTGATGGAATAGAATCCCCTCCAGACCCCTCACAATCAAGCGTGCCGCTTGGTTATTCAGATAATGCCAAAGGTAATGGAATTAGAGTATTTGACGGCAACATCTTATTTCTCTAACTTTAATCTGGAAGCTAAACTGGCAGCTTCGTTTTATTTCCTTTCTAGGTGCATTTCTCATTTTATTTCTATAAACAAACTTTTTCCACACACCAAACACTGCCTAAGAGTTAACCAACCTCCTTGGCAGCTGATTTTGGGCATAGAGACGGGCTAAGGGGAAAAGGAGACTTGTGCACGTTGAAAAGTCCTAACAACCAGATGGCTAATAACTGCCTCAACACCGGCCAAATTGTCTATTCCCTGAAAAGATCAAAATGACGAAAGGAAATGTGACTATGTGAGTAATTTCACAATAAAGAGAGGAAACAAGGATTAACAAAGAGAAAGAGAAGCAGTCAACCAGCGTCAAGAATTTCTTTTAGCCTAATACCACTTGCAGAACTGATTAAATTATATCCACTGCCATTAGTACATTTCTATGTCCAGTAACGATTATTGCCATACCATTCCCAGCCAGTAGTAATCCACTTCTTCAATATCATCATCCGGAAAACTTCCAACAACAGCAATGGCATTCACTTGTGACTGGTTCACTAAAGTTTCTACAGCTCCAAGTAAGGAATCTGGACGTTTAATCCTCCCTGTTGATTGACCATTTTCTGGATTAATCCACTTCTCTACCTGTAAAATTGGATCCAAGTGAAATTATTGCATTTGTATTGGAAGGACCACTTGGAAATCAGAACTAGCTATGCCAGGGCAATTTAAACTACTCAGATATCATCATGTTACATGCTAGGAGTAAGAACAATAGACATATTAAGATCAGTAGATTTGAAAAATTCTTTTAACGCACGTTCAACTAAAGACATGGATAAAATGTGCAGAATCTTGAACTAAATATAATACTTAGAATGCAAAAGAGTGCACACAGAAGACACAAAATATGCCAAAAGCTATGCAACCATATCCTGAAATGTTTTCATTTAGTGATGTCCATAGTGTTTCACACACCAAATCCAAGGCTTGACGTGCATCTGATCTGTTGTCTGGACAACTTTGAAAGATGCAGCCAGAAAGCTGTGCAATAGTTGCTTGTGAAATAAATTTATATACGGTCTCCAGACAGATGGCATTATACATAAATTTGATAACAATGGACGCCATGAGAATGTCCAGCACCAACAGAGCCATTAATTTTCATTGAGGTACCCATGGTTTATAGAACTTCTAGATTCCCTCTAAAGAGAGAAATAGCTGCCATAGTTGAAACTTAAATGCTTAATTGTCAAGCTGAGCATGGACCTTGTGCTGCATAATTTCCACACCATTAAGCAAATCAAGATACTAGGGTTCTGAATACCTTGAGTGGGGTGTCAGTGACAATATATTCTACAACATTCAATCCAAGGGAAGCCCTTTTAGTCCAATATATAATTCATATGAAGTATAAGAACAAAGAATAATAGTCCAACATATAATTCATATGAAGTACAAGAAAAATGGCATAAGGAAAAAACCACCACTAAAATTTTAACACCACATGACAAAGCTAATTAAGGCTACAGCACAATAAGACCACCATAGAGGCATACCCGGTTTTGATGAACAAGCTGTAATGCCCATAAGCCTTCTGCGAAGTGGTGTAGAGCATAACCTTCAACATATAATGTATTTGGCAGGGCCAGTAGAGCATTGCTGCATTAAGAACCTGTAAATTCGATAGGTCATAGCTAACTACAATAATTTATATGAAAGAGGACAGATAAGAAGGCATACAAGAACATTAGTTGTCAAAATGCCAATAAAATTACGATATCAAATATCAAAGGGAAAAACTACAAAAACAGCAGCAGCAGCAACATCAACGATAATAACATCAATGTCAACTTTTCGCTTGCATTTGTTAGGCATCATGAGCTCAAGTCTCAATTTTTCACTTCCATTTCCTTGAGGTAAAGAGCCATAGTCTCAAATAAGAGTAAATTTTATGTTATACAATAACAATCTGCCTTAATTACTAATGAAATTACCAAATAATGTGAAACGACTGCCAAAAGAAAGCTAACATCGTACTAAGACAGATTAGTAAATATCAGTTTATTGGGTGTATTAGATAAGAAAGTGAGATACATTAGGGTGAGTGATAAGGCAATCAACAACGTTGGAGAGGGCACGCGCAACCGGCAAAGCGTCGCCCGCGAATCCACCGATAGCAGCTTTGGTCCCCGTTGGCACTATCATAACGCTGGTATGCTGCCTGCGCGTTTCCAAAGATGTGCTTGGTAAAACCATGCTTTCATAACCATTTTTCGGTAAAATGACACAAACTCATCTATATATTTATTTTGTAAATCGTAAAAATACTTCTAAAATTATGGTTTAGTTTTTATCCATGTTTTTTTTTCAGAAGCACTTTTCTAAAAGTCGAGAAAAACTCTCATATATTAATTTTATATACTGTAAAAGCATTTATAAAACTATAGTTTTGATCTTATCCTGAGACTCTCAACTCTCTTTGGTTATGAATGAATGCTGAGAAAAAAAAAAGTTTTTCTTTTGAAGAAGAGGAGGGACCTTAAAGGACGACTGGGTAGAGTAAGAGCAGAAAATGGTTGTCTCAAAGGGAGGAGACTTTCGGCTAAGTAATGGACTCCGGTGAGCGGCCGAGCCTGAGAGTACCTCCATCAACGAAGGCTAAGCTTTAGGGTGTGTTTGGTTGGAAGGGAGGGGAGGGCAAATGAGCCCCTCCCCTCATTTGGTTTAAAATTTTGGAGGGGAGAGGAGCCAAAATGTCCCCTCCCCTTCCCCATTTTGGCTCCCCTCCAAATTGAGGGTTTTTGGAGGGGAGTCAAAATTTTGGACCATTATACCCTTGTAGTTTTTTTAATATTCCACTTCTATCCATAAAATATATTATTATAATATTTATTTCAAATAAAAAATATATTATCCTAAGTAAAAAAATAAAAAATATATACATTATTATAATTAAAAATATATTATAAAAATTATTTAAAAATAAAAAAGTATTTAAATAAAAAATTATAATATTATAAAATTAATTTTTTATAAATATATTATTTATTAAATATATTTTAAAGCTGGAAAAAAAGATAGCCTAAAGAAAATAAAATTTCATTTTTCTTAGAGCATATAAAATTTGTTAATTTCATTATTTTAAATATATTATTATATTAATTAGAATAAAAAATTACTGTACCAATTTTTTAATACACATATTAACATGATAAGACTGAATTTTTATTAAATTATATGATTTAAATTAAGATGTAAATTAATTTATATAATATATCAATAAAAAACATAAACTAATATGTAAGGGTAAAATGGTAAATTGATTATTACTATCCCTCCCCTCCCCTCCTTGAACCAAACAAGGGATTATTAAATACCCTCCCCTCCCCTCCCCTTTAATCAAACCAAACAAGGTGAGGATGAAACCTCCCCTCCCCTCCCCCTCCCCCTCCCCCTCCCCCCAAACCAAACAGGCCCTTAGCTTTTGAGTTCGAAAAGCTTTAACTGAAAGCTTAGCTCTGAAGCATAGGGGCTGTTTGTATTCAAAAAAGCACTTATAAAAGCACTTGGGGTGTTTGGGTTCCTGAAATACTCTTTTTTTTTATTATTATTATAAATTAAGATAAATTTTTTATATATTTATTTCATATACCGAAAATTACTTCTAAAAATGTAGTTTGGTTTTTATCCAAATATTTTTTATAATGAATTATGAATCCCTCAATGGTTGGGCCAATAATTTTCTATTGTTTTTTCAGGGAAAATTACTACTATTTAACAAGAAATGAACATAATTAAAAAATAGTTGTGATATGATATTTATTAATATTTGTAATTGCTATATAGATTATTATTCCGGTATTGATGATGAAAAAAAAAGCAAAAAAAAAATCATTCCGCTTTTTATACAGCCTTGCTCCTGCTAGGGTAAAGGTGTTTAAGATTATTCTTAGACATTTTAAATATTAATGACAAAGTGTTACCCCTCTTTGTAATATGCCTGGTTTGATTTTAATTAATCTGGATCCACTAAATAATTAAAATTAATTCTCTAATTACTCTAAGAAGCTTCCAGGAGAAATGTATTGGTTCCGTAGCTTCAATATATTATTCTTGATAATATCTTGATACTCAAAAGTTGTAAGCTGAATAATTCAATTCTAAGGGTGTGTTTTACTCCCAAATGCTGTAAATGGGTTAAATGACGTATTTGGGCCCAGAACAAAAGATTTGCATCATTAAAATTAAACTAGAATAAAACCCAAATGTCCAAGTCTTCTCAAATGGTCCGGTCCAATCCATGCGGCCCAAAATTATCTGCAACAGGGAAAATACGGACCACTAGCCCAATAGGGGTTTAAAGAAAGGTTTTTATTATAAGATTCAAATAACTGATTCATAGATAACGAATAATTAATTAAAATTGGTTAAAAATAATAAATAAGTTAACCAAATAAGGCATTGCATTCCCCACCCCCTTTCTTGATGTTGAAACTGATGGATCAACTTGTTTTTAAAATGGTGTTGGTAGAAGTAAAACCATGGTTTTAAAAGTGTTTTTAAGGTATATAAAATAAATATATAAAAGAATTTATCTCAATTTACGAAAAAATATTTTTTTAAAGCACTTTTAGATTACCCCAAACACCCCTAGGTTATTTGAAATTGTCGAAATTAGAATCTACTCCCACGCTTTGGACTTGGGCACACGCATAGTTCGAACTTTTAAGCCAATTTCTCAGCGAGCTGTCGAAAAGTGCTTTTTATCGTAACGTTTTTCTAAACGTTATTCTTAATATTCCTTTTTATTTTTTGCCCTGTCGCACCGGACACCATTTTTCTTTCCTTGTTTTTTCTTTTTGCCTGAATGCATATACCGAAATATAACTTCATTGTCAAGAATTTGGTGCAGTGAAATTCCGCTAACTTCAAATTATTATTATTATTATTTTTTCCAGCAACTTCAAATTATTATTAAATCATCAATGGTGCACTAAATATTAAGTATAAAGTTCCTATATTTAAAGATAGAAAATTAATGCACCTACCTATTCAGTTCACGGGTGTTAAACATGCAAATATTGTAGTTTTTATATATTTTTTACTATAATTCACACAACCATTATATTATATGTTCCATAAAAAAAATCCAAATTCCCAACATCACGTTTAAAAAATATTAATAAAATTTTTTTGGTATCATTAAGTTATAACCCTTTTATATTTAAAGATCGAATATTAGACTACCTACCAATTCAATACAATAACATTTTTTTTTTCTTATTATTACTACTAGAAAAAAAGTTCTTTCATAACTGTCGGAATTGACATTTGACATTAAAAGACCATTGATATAGACACAGAAAGTGTTAAAAGTCTGATCTTCTGGTATAAAAAATGTTACTTCTAAGTTTTAACTCCAGTTGATGTCTCAAAAACTTGCATTTACTCGATGAAAAATATGTACATAAATAGGGTCTGATCCTAGGGTGTAGGCTAGGTCAGATTTTTTTTTGGTCAAAGGCTAGGTCAGATTAAAAAGCAGAAAATCAATGCTAATAAAATCTAATAACAGCAGCCACTAATTAAGGAGAGA